TCCCCCCCCTCCCCCCCCCCCCCCCCCAACCGCTGTCTTCTTGCAAAAATGGCATAGGTCTATAATTCCAAAGAGGGTCCCTAGCTGTAAAATACGAGCAGCGATAGGGGCCCCCCTGCAGTGTCAACTTAGACACATATCTCAAGGGAGGGGCACTTACCACACACTCCTTTTTCAGTATATCTGATTGGCTAACGTAGGCTCCTTCCCTAATGGTTATGAATCTTATAAAGCCACCTATTTCTCCCCATTTGCTTCATAGGGGCTTTGGTAACAAACTCAGACTTTGTGAAACATATTTAGGCATCTAGAAGTTCAAAGCCAGGCACTGTGATGCTCAGCATCACCATGTCTTACTCTGGTTAAGCATCCAGGCTTCCTATTACTTAGACTTGTTAGATTTTGGAAAAAAGTGATCATGCCATACTCTGTTTCATTCAATGTCCAGGACAGATGGTAATCAATTAAATGAGCTATTCAATGTTTAGTTTTATCCTCACTGTTCAATGTGTGGCCAGAGCCTGATTTACTGCTCAATAGTTGAACCCTGTTGTGAATACAGAATTATCAGTTTCCTGATAATTACCCTCATGGACATGGTGCTTTACAAAACATTCATTTATCTTCTTAACATGTCAGTAAGGTGAGATGATATTATTATCCTGATTTTACTGAGAGGGAACTGAAGTACAGGTTAAAAGTGTTCATTTATTTTGTGTTTATGTAATTACTGAATCAAAATGCATCTGCCCAAGAGGTCTGAATTAGGATTACATAGGCAGCCCTTAAATCTGGCACGTCCTAACTTTTGAGAGCTTGGCTTTGCAACTTTAAATGTTTAGCAATGTTTTTGTGTACTTAATATACTTTTATATCTTGTGTCTCATGTATTTTCCTAGTTTTAAATAACTCATATGGTGGAGGTTTTACTTGAAAAAACACTTCCATGGTCTAGTAGATTGCACTCTTAACATACTTTCCTTGGTATGCAGACTATTTTCCTCTTTGATCAAGGTCATCCGTTCCATTAATCCTTCTTCTGTTTACCAGGACCACCCTGTGTAAGCCCCTTGCTTTCCTGACAGTTACACATTTCAGCTAGTTGTAACCTGTTATCATACCTTATACCTCTCCCTCCTCTATCATCAGATAAGCTACATATATTTACTCCTTTTATTTTTTCTTCATTAATCCCTTCAACTACTGTCCCTTGTTCTTCAAATTCCCTCCAATTTCTCTGTATCTTTCTTCTCAGTTCAAAATCAAAATCTTTCCACGAACAGAAATTTACTCCCTTGATTTTTAGTGCTAGTTACTTTCCTAAGACGTGGCCTAGGAAATCTTTACACAGGTATGCCATACTCTATAGTGAATGTGACTGTGTGATATATCAAGGGAAAGCTAGCTGGAAATGGCGATGATCAGGAAAATCTCCAAGTTTGAATAAAGGGAAACTAGTCATCATCTCTCAGGTGATGAGAAAATGTGAGAATCAACATGTTTGAAGTTATTCAGGAAAATAAGTGTGCTTACTAGTACTGGAATAGCTCAGAGGTTAAAACTGAAATGCAATACTTGAAATGCAGTTAGAGAATTACTAGCTAACTGAAACATCTCGATCCATTTAAGTGCAATACTCTTAGAATATTGATCACTTTTACTAATGATGACTAAAACTCATTATATTGGTCACGTCACCTCAGATTCCCTTGTCAATCTGTCCCTTTTTTATGGATTTTACAGACATCTGTTTTCTTCTGCTGAAA